AATCGTGCGCATTGCTAAGTTCCTTTGACAGGCGCAGCCTTGGGTAATCTGGTGCCCCCAGCTCTCCCTTTATTAAATCGTCTTTTTCGATGGGCCGGATGTCCTCAAACCGAAACCCTTGACACGGCATGCTTCGCTGCGCATTGTTTCGCGGCCAATCCTGTCGGGCCCTCTGAGCAACTTGCTCGGCCGTTATGACCGAGCCGGGTAGTTTCAGTGGAACGCCGTGGGTTTGGCCGAGATAATCTCGGTCGGCTAGCCATCGAGGTATAGTCACCTAGTCCTGCTGATTTGTATCATAAAGGGAACCTAGGTGGGACTGCCCCCAGCCGTTGGTCGGTGGCAAAGAATGCTGGCCGGATAGTGCAACAGTCATGCCTTTTTGCTCGCACTGTTGTGGTAACGCTCCGGTCATACTGCTTTGGCCAGACTGTGCTTGATCCGCCAAAGTATGGGTTCGGCCGAATTGCTCGGCCGCAGACACCGTAGGACTCCTACTGAATGCTTTGGCTAGAGCGTGGAGCGGGCTACATGCTCTCTTTGCCGGTTGGTTTGGTTCGGGACTCGCCCTTGAGGGCTGGGACTGCCCCCAGCCGTTGGTCGGTGGCAAAGAATGCTGGCCGTAGCCTAACGCTTGGGTACGGGAAAAGACGCCAAGGTTGCTGCTTTCGCCGTAAGGCTCAATCCTTTCACGTTTCTGGCTTCTATGTCCGGCTCCAGGGGGTGTTGAGTGCGAGGCCACTGGCATCCTCTCCTGGAAAAGCGTTCGTAGCTCTGAAGAGAATCTGTCCATCGTGGCCATGAAGGATGTTTCCATCCTGCAAGCCTGCCTGGACATCAAATCCTCCATTACTGCTTGTTCCTGCATGGATTCGACCGTGCGATCCGTCGTTACTGGAGCGCCTGCCGAGATCCCGACCGTATGTTCGGTCTCGATACTTGTGATTGGTGAGGTGGACTCAGGAGTCTCAGAAGTCATTTCGACTGCTTTGTTTTTGAGCTTTGCCTGTGCCCTAGTTTCCACCATAAGTTTTTGACAGTTGTCCCACTGGGCGTGCCAAAAGTGTCTGCCGCGCAAATCTCACGGCCTGGAGTTCCGGGCCGAGGGGATGTGCGTTAACACGCGGTTTCCTGCTTTTGGGTGCGGTGCGGTTGTGCGCGGGCGTGCCAGCACGGTCTACCGTGCGTCGATGTGTTGATGAGTGTTGGTTGGATAAGTGGTGCGCCTATTTGATCTGTCTTCCTAGTCAAACGATTGTAGCCGAGAGAGGAACTGGTCTCGGCTGTTAGGTTCACGGCCTGAACTACAAGGCCGTTGAGTGATGGTGTTGGTGGTGGGTTTTGGGCGGTGCTTCGGCGCACTGCTCAGGGAGCGACGGTCGTGTGATATATGGGGTGAGTGAACGAACAACAAGGATGGTACTCCGGCGCCTTGAAAATCAAGGGTCGTATGATATATTGATGAATGGATT